TTCTTTAGGTGGTAGCTTTGGTGTAGTGAAGCTTAATTTATTGTTGAGTAACTGATAGCTTAGCTCACTACACTGGACAAGTAGCTTGTCCAACACTGGGTAGTAGCACTAGACATCTTCCAGGCATGTGAGTAAAACTAGCAGCAGTTCAGTGGACAGGATGAATGAATGGAAGCCGGCGAGCGTGGATGACGGATGATTACCAAGTAATTATGTAGTTCTCTGTGTCCTTTTTGTTTATTTATTTTATTTTTTTTTTAACTCTTACTGCTTATTTGTGTTTGTGTCAGGTTTTTTGCTAGTTTTTATATACAGCAAATGGGAAATATTTTTTAATGTGCTATATAAATAAAGTGAATTGGAATGAATTGTTTGAAGAAAATTAAGAGGGAGGAAGAAGTACGGTGAGAAAAGGTGCAACAGGGACAATCACTTCACAAGGAATGGACTGGAGTTGGAGTCAGTGCATCAAGAACTGCCTTATATTAACAGACATAAACTAGACACGGGCTACTATAGAACCAGAGGCATCAAGAGAAGCATCTTACATGGGCTAAGGAGGAAGGAACTAGATGGCTAAATGTAGACCGAAGTTTTCAGGTGAAAATAAATTCTGCAGAAAATCTACCTGCTCTGTCAAGAGGAAGATGAGACACCAGAACCAGTTAGGGAGATGAACTAAAGGCAGCTATAAAAGCAACCTGGGCTTCGACTGGACCTCATCAGAACCACAGGCTGATGGCCTTCAGGCGACGGAGCATTAAAGGAAGAACTGAGTACTGAGTGCATAGAAATGGACCTGAGTATCAGAGGTCCAATATTAAAAGTCTTCTTTTCTGGTTGGTCTAATGAGAATTTCTAATTTACTAAAAAATTTTTTGTTTTCTTTACTTTTAAGCTTGGAGTTGATCTCTTTCTGTGTCATGAGTCTGTGGAAACTGACTTTGTGAGAGATGTTTGCACTGAAGAAGCATCCACTGTGGATCGTCAAATCCTCACCATCTCACTTAACTCTTCCAGGTTCCAGAAATGCTGTTAGTTTTCCATCAGATTCTCTCTTCGGTCCATTGAACCCCCATTGAACTCTCCCATATTTCTTATCATTGGGTCTTTTGTCTTTCGTTGGATCAAACTTTGACTTAAACAAAGACAAACCAGGCCTGCGGTTTCTTTTCTTCCTACGTGCCACTGTTTTTGTACCACTCTCTCTATATAACAAAGGGATTCTTGTATGAACAAGACATTGCTTCTCTCAGTTCAGCTAAAGGGTGGAACCTGACAAGTTGAGAACAAGCAGAAGGATTTGTCCCTGAACATTAGTATCCTCTTATTTGTTGCGCAATCACTGTTCCCAAAGCCAAAGGTTTGATTTGAAGAACTTAAAGCCTCAGCATAGAGGAAACAAAACAAACCGTGCTCTATGTTCTTGTTTGGGTTTAAATGTGTCTTTAGAAGATGACAGATCATCCTTCAAACTTAAATACATGATGAGGCTAGATAAAGATGATTGCTCAATCATTTGTCAGAGGATGAATTACTGCTGAGAGAAAGTAAAAATGTATGAGATAAGAAGCAGATAGTTGGAAAGGTCTTTACATCCTCTTTCTCGTGTCGAGAGAAGTCAAATTCAAAGACATGCTTGTAAATTCAGCTGTTTTCTGGAATCCCAGTTTTCTCAGCATGTGCATACTCCGCCTCTGGTAGGTAGGATTATCATCAATATTTCTATTTGCCCTAAAATAAAAAGCTTTTTTATTATTCTGCACAGTTTATTCACAGGCCCAGGGAAAATATATTTGTAGGGTTCTTGATGGATTAAGGCACATTTGGATAGATTTTTATCTTGTTCTTATTTTGTGTCCATTATAACCATGAAATCAGCAGAGAGAGAAAGGGGGAAGATATGCATGTGGTCTTGGACAGCTGTACTGAAATATCTGTCAGGGGAGGCACCACTTCTCAACCAGACTCCACCAACATCTGGAGGTGTATTTTATGTTCCCCTTAAAGAATCTTTAGTTGCACATCATGAAAAAATAGCAAGGAACCTTCGTAGATATCAGGATGTAACCTGATCTCTGTTGCCTGTTTATTCCTGCAGCTGTCAGATGATATAATAGGGCAGGATATCTGGTGTTTCTGGCATCAGTTGTGTTAAAGCTGCATTACTTTGCAATTACTCTGGCAAGGAATGTAAACTGAGTGTCTGTTGTTGAATAGTATTCGGTGATATATAGACTGATAATAGTGTGTCTTTATCTTGTGTTTGTTTAGTTTGTAGTTTATATAATATTATAAATTGCTGCTGTAAGCCCTGGCATTTTTTCATGTACTGGGGCTAATTTATGGACCATCGCTAACAAATACACATTGTGGATTAACCGATCTACCTTCAAGCATCACACGACAACCTTCACCAAGACTTCTATAATGCAGTTTTACTGGCTTTGGTTATTAACGCGGACAAGACAGGGACTGCTACTGCGTAACGTTCCTTAAATGTAAATGTTCCTTAAAAAAATGATCACATTGTTCCATGGTGTCTGAATGTTTTAATTTCATTGAAAACTGTTGTCAAACATATTCTTATATAAAAATAGTAAATAGATTGTACGTGTACATATTTCTCTATCCTATATCATATTTAGTGCTTAAATCTATATTTGTGTTTTATATTGACTTGCAATTTCTGTATATTTTACTACCCTTATGGAATTGAGGAGGAGTGAACTCGATCAGCTCCTGCCAATGCCTGTGTTTGCTTCAAATTATGAGTCCCCTGTTCTGAGCCTTGACATGACACTGGTTTGTCTTTATCTATAAAACGGTTATTGCTGCTCTTTCATCAACTTGAAAAATCTTTGCACAAGAAAGCAAGAAGGTTATAATCTCTGATTTAGGTTTTCAGCACCACTGGAACCTTAGATTCAAGTGATGTTGAAAAGATTTCAAATCCTTAAGTTAATGCAATCTCTTTTGTCTATATGTAAATGCTTTAGGTTAGAGTTTTAATGTTTTCAATTTGTTCTGTACATTTTTCGGTTTATATTTTATATATACTAACTTTCGTGTAAAAGAGATTTAAGATCTCTATGGGACTAGCCTGATTAAATAAAGGCTAAATAAAGATATATATATATTTTCTGTTTGTCATTGTCTTGGTTCTGTTATGCTTTACTTTGCTCCATGTTTTCTAGTTTTATTGGTTTAATTCATATTTTGTTGTATTTTCTGGATATATGAGTTCTTTGTTGCCCTCTTGTGTTGGTCTCCTTATGCCTACCTCCTTCCTAGACTGCTCTCCACTCACACCTGCTCCTTATCACCTCGTTAGCCCTGCTTTTGTTCAGTCAGCCATATTTACTCCCCCTTGCTGGTTCCTTGTCGTCGCTGGTTCCTCGTTGCTGTTGTCTTCCTACCTCGTCTCTCCCTGGCTCCTCGTGTTCGGTTTCCCCTGCTGTCTCTGTGGTTCTTGTTTGTTTTACATTTTATGTTGGATTTTTGGATTCCTGCCTTTGTTTACTGTTTTCACAATGAAACTGCAAGAAATCACCTCAGCCTCTCTGCCTCTGCATGTTGGTCCTCAAACCTCAACCAAATCATAAAGCTGTTTGCATCTCCTCTTAATGTGCTGAGTCACCTGCAGCTGCATTGGGTGCTATGCAGCAGAAATTTTGGTCCATTACCTGTTTCTTTCCTTCTTTTCAAATTGAGGGGCCATACTGTGGTACATTTTGTGGGATAGAACAGATCACCAGCTGTTTGGGAATGCTCCCAAAGCTCCCCATGGCCGCCCCACCTGTGGCTGTACTAGATATGGCAGCTACTACCACTCATGAGTTGGTCTGCACAGGCACTTAAGAAAGAGCAGATGAACCCACATTTAGTAGCTAAACCATCATTTCTGGAGATGAACAAATAATGGATTGCACAGCCTCTATTAGCCACTACAGCTTCTGACACACAAAGGCACCATTGTAATGCATTGAGAAATGCATAACAATCATGTTTTTATAAAAAAAATAAATAAAATCATGCTGTTTCAATGGGGAAACGGTATACATCTATTATAAAAATCTTCTATCATCCTTATTTTTTCTTCCAATTTTATATAATATGGTGGAACCGAAAGGCTACTTCCTCCTCAGACTGGAGAAGCTTGAAGAAGAATATAGGTTAAATAATTTTTGTTACATAACTGTTAAACTGCTTCTTTTTGCTAAGACCTTTGAAAATGACATTTCATGTCAGTTAGATTTTAATCCCACCAAACTGAAAAAAAAACCCCAAAACAAAACAAATCCCGCCCAATTAGGATACCATTCTATTTAAAAGAGTTTACTGATCTTTAAAAATAACTTGTTTTATTTTGGTGCAGCTTCTGGAGCAGCCCTGATTCAATGCATAGCGGTGGCTCCTTTGTGTCATGCTGTGGTCACATGATGTCCTTCCCAGTTATATAGCTTAGTGGCTTATTCCTTGTGTTCTAACTGAATGACGGAATAGTGTGCATACTTTTCTGACTCCATATTCCTGCCCCTATAAAGCTTTTCTGTTTCCCGAAAATGTTATTTTTCATTGTTGTCTTCAGTGTTTGGAGTAATTGCACTTTAATCATTATCGGAAAACCATAAAGAAAAAAAACCCCAGAAATTCTGTATTATCATGTGTGCAGTGCATCTAGATGTGATTAAATTATGTTAATGTTTTGCTAAAAAAAAATCCCATTTTAGATGACTCCTTGTGTGAGTCCAGTTATATTTAGGCAGGTGAGATTTAGATCAGTTTGTCTAATTAATGTCCATTATTTGACCTTTTTTTTCTATTTATGTCCCTGGATCCCCATGAAACAAAGGAACCAGTTTGCAGTTGCCTTTCTTTTTTTTAGTTAAAAAAGCTGTACATAATCAGAAGGTGATAAGAACCTTTTTTTTAAGTATCACTTTAAGATATTGCTGACATCATGTATTGTTTTGTAAAACAATGGAATGGAGACAAAGTGGTAAACACTGTTTTTTAATAGTAGACAAAGGAAGGCACAGACTGGACTGTGGGAAATGACCAGAAAACAAGGCAGAAGGAGACAAAAGGAACCAGGCAATTAAAACCGTTGGCGGAAGCCATGTGAGAACCATGACAACCAGACAGCTTATGCAGAGAGGAAAGGATGGAGTAGGCATCGCAACACAGCTGACAATTACTCCATCAAAAAAAAGGTTAACAGCTGAGAGTCATGAAAGTAGAGAGAGCAGAAGTTTATTCATGCTTAGATGATAAACATTTTTATAAATACATACTGTTAGCTGCAAACAGTAGTGAAGTATAAAATAGATTTTCACTAAGAGCAACATTTTCTTTATTTATGGCAACATTTTAACAAACAAACTTTCAAATAAACGTGGGAAACATGCATTAAACTTTAAACCAAGTCAACAATATCAAAATTGTACAAACTGAAAATAAGCATATATATGGTCTTTTTAGAAATTAGGCACTTTTAGCTATTCTTCTAATACAGCAAAGAGAAAAAATAGCCACAGTTGAGCAGACGAATCGCATAAAAAATATTTTCATTTACACACACAGACCTAAATATGGCATAGAGCTGAGTACTGCCACCAGGGCGATACAAATGAGCATTAAGGTAGAAAGTGCATCTTGTTTTGAAGCAATACTGTTACGTCCAGTTTTGTGGAAGACAATAACTGTACCAAGTTTATATAAATACAAATAAAAATAACTTTTTACCTTTTCATTCTTCTTTGTAAGCACCCAAGTTAAAATCCTTGATACTACGAAATGTTTATTTACACACCGCATGCCATGCATCCTTAGGAGTCAACTTTGCCATAAGTCCCCTCTGGAGGTCGGTAGCATTTTGGGAAGGCCATCAGCTGCAACATGTTGAAGGCGTATTTCCTGCATCTGATATTCTTTTCAACATTTTCAATCCGACATCCTTCTCTGATGATGAAATAAACGATGAAGAAAATTGAAATAAGGGAAAGAAAAAAATGACAAAAGGTGAAAATGAGCGATGGTTTTATGTCTGACAATAAACTTGATTGATGAAGGTGACTTAAAATTCATTATTTCTATAATTTTCAGAACATGTTATTATAATAATGATGATTAATGATTAACATTCCATATACAGGGCTCCATGTTCCACAAGGTGTTGCACTGACAGATTAACCTTCATTTGGTGTACCTTAGTGTTGTTTATTCTCCAATTTCTACTAAGACTCACCAAGAGATGAGTCTTCAAGGATCAAAAACTGTCTCAAACTGTCTAGCTTTCCAGCTTTAGTAAACTGGGAACACTTAATAACATGGATCAACATCACAGACTGACTTAGCATGATGGAACAGGAACAGACAGGAAAAGACAGCACGAGTGCCATATTTTATGATGTGATTAAATCGAGGAAAAAGTAAAGTAATTATAAAAACAGAACAAAGAAGCACAATCAGAAATGAAAAAATGATACATGAGTGTTGCTGTGAAATGAAGAACAGAGTTTGATTGAATTTAGAAAGTGGATCATAGCCTTTAAAGGAAGTTGAAGTGTTAGGGTACATTGCTTTGCTTTCTAACCATCCTTATCCATCATGAATACAGCCTGTAGGTTTTAATTAGATTACGGTACATTGAGTCTTGACGTACATTGAGTCTTGACGTATGCCATCATTCAATCATGAGTACAGCCTGTAGGCGATATGTTTTGGCTTGTTGGACCTACTGCTTCCCTCATAATTTTTTGGTTGAAGGAGCTGAAGCAAAGTCAGTACACTGTCTTGCCCCTGGCACTTTCTTTGCTACAGGCATATAACATTTCACTTGTACATATACAGACATTTTGTTCGTAGAACAAAATGGAAAGAATGGGTATCTTAGGATCCCTCAGACTACTTGAAAGATGTGTGTAACCTACTGTCAGCTAAAGCCCGTCACACCTTGACCACTTAGACAGCATATGCCTGCCATATGAAAAATTTGGTAAAAATGCTGGCATACGTCGGATAACTTATGGGACAGTTTTGTATAAGTTTTGTGTTAAAGAATAGGCTCTGTGCTTGGTGGCAGGTTGGTTCCAGGTACTCAGAGGTACTCAGAGATTCACTTCCATACAGAAAGCCCATATTCTTACCTTCTGCTACCACAGTATACATGTCAGATTAAATAATACTACGTATACTTCAGCGATAGTATCAAGGTGTTCCTTTATTGAATGTCTTGTACCATGTCTGTTGGTTGTGTTGTTCTTTTTACATCTCTTTGCAGGTGATGAAGCAGATTGAAAATGTTTAATCATTATCTCCCTTTTATCTTCTATTTAATCTTTTCTCCTTTTTTCTGTTTTTCTTTCCTGTTGTACTTACATTGAGGTGTCCATATAATCTGTAAAACTCCCTATATTATTTTTAATTTCATTTTAATTATAATAAAGCTATTTATATGCATACATCAAGTGGAACACTACGGCAGTAGCCGTACTGCTCCACTTGTGAAAGTAAAGTCTGTTGGGCTCTTTTTGGCATCAAAACAATTATTCTTATTGCCACGTTCCCAGAAAGGACACTGAAAAAAAATATAAAAAAAGATAGGCTCTGTATTTGTACCTTGAAGCTCTATCTCTCTGGTTCTTTTTCCTGAAAAGAGATCACTGGGGACAAACTCTTTAAATAACACTTCATAACTTATATGTATTGAATAACCAGGAGACAACAGATTCTGATAGAAACTGTAATCTTACTCAGATCAGAGAAATAGCTTAAAATGTACAGAAGGCAGCTGCTCCCCTCCGGGCTCACCTCTCAGGAAGTGGCCCTGCTTAACAGTTAAAAAGTAATTTTATACATCTCCGGTCTGCCACATCATCTTGTTTTACATCATACACATTAGCAGATGATTAGCCATCCATGGCTCCAGCCTTACAGAAATATTACACTTCGTTCTTAGCTGAAGGACACCGCTCTCATTCCATTTCCAAATCTTTGCCATGTGCAGAATGAAGATTATAACTGTATATCCAGACAGAGGAACTGTCTTAATTAGATTAAAACATCAATTCTGACACGCAACAGGCAGCCAATACCAAGGTGTAATAAACTAACACATCATGAATGATAAATATCCTAACATATGAACACGCTGGCACAAGTCGACATACAGCAAGTACATTGAGTCTTGACGTATGCCATCATTCAATCATTGACATATGGTAATTGTAGGTTACTCATAAGTCGTGTTGTCTAGCTCAGTGTTTTTCATCCCTGGTCCTCAAGGCACACTGCTCTGCATGTTTTGGATGTTTCTGAGCTTCAGCCCACCTGATTCAGATGATTGCAGTTCAGCAAAGCCTAATAATCTGCTATCAGTTGATAACAGGTGTGTGAAAGCTGGGAAACATCTAAAACATGCAGGGCAGGGTGCCTTGAGGACCAGGGTTGAAAACTAGTCTAGCTTATCCAAAATCTATGAGTAACTTGTGCATAACTTATTCGTAACTTATCATGAACTTATCTCCAATGCTTATCACCGTATTTGAAGTGTTCCAGGCGAGCACTGAACGTCTTTCCAACTTCCAACAGCCACTGTATAATGGCGTATTGGGAGCGTTTTGGTATCAGAGGGGGTTTCCTGAATATATCCCCATTATATAGTGAGAGAGAAGGTGAGAGTGATGGGTCCTCCCTACGCCCATGGCCACAAGCAACAAACTGTCTCGCAGACATGATGCTGATTCTGCTGCGACTGCCAAACTTCTTTCTTTGTTTCTTTTTTGGCGGATGGTAAAAAGCAGCTAGATTAATACCGCCATCAAAGAAATGTTTTTATGCAGGTCGGGCGCCTTCGGGCACATTGCTGCCCCCCTATGATATTTCATGGGCATTACGCTGCCATTCGTTATGCATAAGTTAGGCTGTCGTTGGACATAAGTTCTGGACTCGTTATGAATACTCTATGTATACGAAAAAAATTGAAAAATTAAATAGAAAGTTCAGAGTATACCAGCGTTTTAGAAGATTCTGGGACGTCGACACATGCTGGCTACATCGTCAAGGTGTGACAGGTGCTTAACCTATCAGCTAACCTACCATCAGCTAATGCACTGTCAGCTAAACTATTGTTGCTATTCATGAGGTAATTCAGTGATATTGAATTAGAAGTTCTAGCTCATGGTGTTTTAGTGGGTTGGGGTCAGAGCTGTGTGTGGCCAGTCAGGTGTTTTTTAGCCAAACTCAGCTTCTGTCAGTGAGCCCCAGGGCAGCTGTGGCTACAATGTAGCTTGCCACCATCAGTGTGTGAGTGTGTGTGTGAATGGGTGAATGAATGTAGTGTAAAGCACTTTGGTCAGGTCTCCTAACTTGAATAAAGGCGCTATATAAGTACATGCCATTTACCATTTACCATTAATAGCAACTCAGAGAGGTTCACTACATGTTGCTTTTTCCTAACATGGATCTGTTACTCTAATTAGTAGATTAGTACAAAAATCTTATCCCAACTTTAAAATTCTAAGTTCTTATTTAAGATAAGATAAGATTTACTTTATTGTGCCAAAGGAAATTTGATTTTGGTACAGACTGGCTGCTACATAGTCCAACTATGTGTCACACTGCATTCACACATAAATACACTGCTATAAAAATTCCATTATAGGACAATAAATAAATACATAAATACACAATAAAAAATTAGAAAAAAGTATAAAAACCCTTCTTTAAAAAAAATCTGTTATGTGAAATAATGAATACATAAGAAAAAGCATGTCAGTTTAGTTAAAATTTTGTTACTGCTTGATACTGTTTATTGCCTTAATGGAAAGCGGAACAAATGAGTTCTTATAGCGGTTCAATCTACAGGCAGGGACGTACATTCTAATGTTTTAGGAAGGGATTGCGATATTATGTCTCTGTTTTAGAATAGTGTTAGATTATCAGAAGAGGAGAAAGGAAGAAGACTGAATGAGAGTGGAGGAAGATTGGTGATGGAAAGAACAGCTGAAGAGAAGGGAGAAAAATCTACTTGACGAGTAAAGCAGAGAGCAGACAGAAGTCAGCAGAGGGTTAGAAAGAAAAGACACACCTGGATTAATCAGCTTGTCCAGTAATGAAAGAGGAAAAAAAAAAGAGCTGTTTGAATTTCTGGAAGTAGCGGAGCTGTGCACAGAACCCGTTAGTGGGAGAAATTAATCTGCCTCTTTGAGATGCACAGGTCCCCTGATGCGGTCAGTTGTTGACAGAAATAAACATACAGTTTTGCTTGAAAGTTTACATACCCTTCCATTTAAGACCATCCATTCAGTTAAAATTGGCAAAAGTAATAATAAATAAAAATATAGTAACGGAATAATGACATTGATTTTGGATATATATTTAAATACATATGTAAATATTAATAAACAATTCAAGTAAATAAGTCTAACTAAAATTTTCCTGAGCAACACTTTGAGGCAATCCCTGAAATCAATGTTTTCTGTAATATTAAGGAAATGTTCAGTCAGACTTCTGCACCTGTTCACAGGTATGTTTGTTCCCTTTTAATGACCAAGGTACTTTCATTTGTCTGGGACAGTTTTTTTGTTGTTGTTTTCTTGAAATAAGATTTCAAAATCAATACTTAATTTTACTAAATTATCGCTTGTTAATTTTGATTTATGTTTATATTTTTCAGTTGTTTGTAATTCTGATACCTAGTGTGAATTAGTCATTTTCTTTAATGGGAGGGCATGTAAAATTCTAAGCACAACTGTTTATCATCCTTTACCTGCAGGTTTGACAACTACTTGTTTTTTATCCATCTTCATCTAGAAAATAATTGTTTTTATATGTATGTAGATGTGGGCAGAATGAATATTTGTAGGTAGGAAAACTCTGTCTCTACAGACACCCACAACCATAGGCTAAATGTTGGAGACATATTTGTATTTACTTTTCTGGCTTTTCTGTTCCTCATG